CCGCAGTTCGAAATTGTTTCAGACTTCTTGAAAAAATGGCTAATTACGCTTCCGAAGAAGCGAGCATACTGGCAACTCATCGTTTAACGATTAGCAGACCGCGGGTTTTTGTGCAAAATGCAGGTTTTCGGCGTCGGTTGCAAGAAACAGGCAAAAATGCATAAATCTCCGTCTACAAATTAAAATGTCAAAGCGATTTAAGAAGAGTACAGTATTATATTGTACGTTTTACGGTGGTTTCATCATCGAGAGATCATTGGACTACAGAATTTCCCTAATTGCTTCTAAAGATCTTGAAAATAGCAAGATTAAAACATTCTATGGACGTTTATTTTTCTCCGTTTAGATTATTCCAGTGTTCAGCAATTTTTGCGAAACCGCAGTTTGAAAATCATTGTCGCGGCTGCGACTGTTCCCACAATGCAAAGGGGTGCATCAGAGAACAGATTTCGGTTTCCGTTTCACCCCGGGTCAAATCGATAGGCGAGCCTGGCGTGCTTCCATCTGACGTGCGATTCATATACGAAACTGTGCAGCTTGATTAGAAATCCGCGATTATCACTCACCGGTATCACCGTTGCTCTGTGTGTTCGTCTCTTCGGCCTCTACCTTTTCGTCGACTTCCGGTGTCTTCGTGGTATCGTCCGCTAGAAAAGAAATTTACTGCTGATAACACAGGCGAGATACAGAAACGCGGTTTGCCACGCGCAGCCTGAAATACCGATGTCTAGCAACCGGTAATTTATCGAAAAATTATGCGATAACGTAGCCAAAGGTATGTTCATTGCGAAAGCTATGTTATGCTTATTTCGAGCAACAATTGTTTCGATTTGTTAAATTATTCCGTGATGAATCCTATCTTTGTTCTATATTTCTCAATGATCTATAAACTTAGACTTAATTTTTCAGCTTTTATTTCGTCGAGTTCTTAATTTAAAGCTCAGTGAAATATGCTGTTTCACAATGACGTGGTTAATAGAAACAATTATGTGTGCACTTCTGTAGAAAATTGTATTTCTGTCGTATTAAATTTCATAAATACTATTTCCATTTTCCACATTTACGTGATGTATCTTATCTTTGCTCTATATCTCTCAATAATCTGTAAACTTAGACTTTATTTTTCAGCTTTTATTTCGTCGAGTTCTTAATTTAAAGCTCAGTGAAATATGCTGTTTCACAATGACGTAGTTAATATAAACAATTATGTGTGCACTTCTGTAGAAAATTGTATTTCTGTCGTATTAAATTTCATAAATACTATTTCCATTTTCCACATTTACGTGATGTATCTTATCTTTGCTCTATATCTCTCAATAATCTGTAAACTTAGACTTTATTTTTCAGCTTTTATTTCGTCGAGTTCTTAATTTAAAGCTCAGTGAAATATGCTGTTTCACAATGACGTAGTTAATATAAACAATTATGTGTGCACTTCTGTAGAAAATTGTATTTCTGTCGTATTAAATTTCATAAATACTATTTCCATTTTCCACATTCACGCGCCACGTGAATTTCTATTTTTCAAATTTACGTGCCATGTAAATTTCTATTTTTCATATTTACGTGCCATGTAAATTTCTATTTTTCATATTTACGCGCCATGCGAATGTCTATTTTTCAAATTTACGCGCCACGTGAATGTCTATTCTTCAAATTTACGCGCCGCATAAATTTGTTGCCACCAAATGATACCGAGCAACCATAGTCGAAATGAAGTATAGAATATACTGGATTCCCACTGGCAAAGTATCATGGTGATCCACACTATTTGAATTTATACGTGAAATTTATTCGATTCACGTTTCTCATATATACTCAAATAAATGCGTACGCACGCTTTCAACTGTAAACCAATAAGTAACTGATATTAATCACGGTCGATCGTCATTATTTCCGTAACATATCCTTGCAAGTTTTACGAATTTTATTTACATCCGGTGGCGCCCTCTCGACAGAAGCGCGTGAACTGTACCGCGAAAGACAGGTGCGTACGAAAAAGACGCGACGACTCATCTTTACCGAAGCGATCAGTTTCAAGCGGCTGACAAATGTAAAATCCTTTTAACGAATATTCCTCTGGGTAAGTAAACTTACGAATTGGTTGAATCTTTACGAAAGGGTTAAGTGGAATAATGTACCAATGCACGATAAAGACAAATCGTGACAGATTCGTCGCAGCCGCGAATCCATGATTAATAACCTCTGTCACATTTGACAGGTATCGAGGATTGAGTAACGGCGACGAGATAATACGCCGGAGATGCGCGCACGGTCTCTATAATTTAAAACTTATCGCGGTTGGAGCTTATCGTGAGTAATTTTTTGCCGATAACTGTACTTATCCGTAAAGCTTCTGCAAGCGTTAAAAGGATGATAACTGACTACACTTGTCGCCGTGTTATTTTTATATTCCTTCGCGTGTATCTCGGAAAATCGCGTCGGATAAATTATCGATGCCGAACGAAAGCCATGTTGCTTCCTTGTTTCGCGATACCGCGACGAAAATTCGAACAAAAAGTCCCACGTAACAGCGAGTGAAACGACGATAAAATAAATAAAATAAAACCGGTATAGGAGAGCTTGTCACACGTTTCCCTCTCGGGACTGTCTTCTCGCGTCCATCTGTAACGGTAATCGAAATTAATCGCATAGAACGATCGTTGCCGAGGGGCCGAAAAGTCTCGAAATAATCGGGGCCGTATACGAACCACGTTCTACTTGTGCACATTTACAACCCGTTGCAACGTGCGTATAATAACTCGATCAAGAAAGCCGTTCCCCGGTCCCTTATCCACCTGCCTAGGAATAATCCTTGCGCCAGGAACGTAATACCGAACCCAACGACCGGAACGACCCGTGTAAAATCGCCTGTCGAATAGAACACGATATTTCCAAAGGACCAATCGAGATATAACAAACCGGACAGCGAACGGAACTATGCGGTGACGAGATATATCCACGAGCCATGACTAATCCACCCAAATAGTACGGAGGATTGACTCAACCGAAACCCTGATACCGCAGTGTTTTGACACGACCAACTGTTCGATTCACGGTTCGCTCGAATCATCGCGGAATGCGAACGATCCACGCGAATTTTTCCGCGGACCGTTAAAAATTCTTGCTGTCGATAGGACGACGTGTCACGTGATCGACGACATGTTAGAAAAATAATCTGCGGGACAGACGGGAGTGCCAGGGGCACGGGAATTCCGTGTCACGGTCCTGTTCGGCATGCAAGAGCGCTCCGTGCCACTTGTTGCATGGCCGCGCTCGACCACTCGCGTTTGAATAAACTGGTTTGAAACTGCTGCAAACGATATTTCGGGGTCGGTCCACGTACCGGGGCATCCGGGTGTCTGCGCGTTCGTCTCCTGGCACGGTGTTTCCACCGCTTTTGTCTGTCCGTGGGGCACAACACTGGTCACTGCACTTGACACCGACGGCTCGCACGATTCGGCCATTTTCAGGTTAACTCGCGTTTATCCGCACCGCGGCTATATAGTTGCCTCGCCGCATTCGAATCCGAATCCCTTTTTCGAAACTTCCACGCACGCTTCGCGGTTCATAACGCGCGACTCTCATGACAGATGGCGGCTCCCGGATGTCGAGACCGCTGCTGCCACCTGCCGGCCGTTCCTCGAGACCGAATTCGTCTCCGATTTTTCAAACCGATTCGATCCCTTGCTGTTGGCGGTAAATATGCAGTGTTTCCGATTTCTTATACATGTAATTGGAGCTTTCTTTTAATATTTGAGATATTCGCGAACAACTATTGTTATTACGTATAATAAACTTTGATATACAACCTGTGTGACGCGAATCTGAGGTAGGCATTAGGACTGCAGTGAAGTTTCGAACGCGAGGAACGACCTAAAACAACCCTTTTAGGTTGGATCTTTGATATATTACATTTCCATTACATCAAATTCCTAATCTCATCGAGTCTCAATTCCGGTAACTTTTCTTGCGAATATCTCGAAGACTAAAAGAGATTGTCTATTATATCTGTAGGTAAAAGTTGTTCAGAATGAAGACCTTGGCAAGATATTTCAAGGTCATTGAAATCAGAGGTGATTTTCTTAAACTGCATATTTACACCGATGTTGGAAACGTGTGTGTGTGTGTGTGTGTGTGTGTGTGTGTGTAACTGTGTGGTATAGTGTTCCCATTATTTCAATATAAATCTGAAAAACAGTATGCAGATGAAAAATGTCATCCACAGTGCTGGTTGCGGTCTGCGTTCGCGGTATGTATAAAAATCTATTGTACAAACTTATGATCTGTGCATTGTAATCTTAAGAACTTTCCCTTTGAAAGTTTAATATTCGATCGATTATTATAGATCGATTTTGTGAGGTCATAGAGACAAATTAGTCTCGTGTCGTATCTAATGTTACGAGGATTTAAGAATTAGAAAATTTGTTACTAAGAATCGAGTATACTGTATACTTCATTCCTACTACCGATGTCTAATATAATTTGGAGACAATAAATTTATATCTCGCGTATCATCTAAGAGACTAGATCAGTAATATAAAGATATAGATTATTGGAGATCATATGATAAATCTTGAGAGATAAAAAAATTATATATAATATTTTATATAATATAATATAATAAAATAAATTTTATATAATATAATATTATATATAATATTTTGAAGAGTTAATTTAAATTGATTTTTATTCCCACCCTCGTAGGAACTTTTAAGTTTTGAGGAGTTAAATTAAATCACATTTTACGATGAGTGCAATTACATTAAAGAAAAATTCGAAGTTATATCGAAATTGCAAAATTGATAAAGGTATTTATATATATCAGATAGAATATATGTTGTTATAATTCGAGCGAACATACGTGTAATTGTGTCCATCGAACTTTGTTTTTGTAATATTATATTTATATTTCATCGTTTTTTAATTGAATTTGGCTGTGCCGGTAAGGTGGTCTTCTTGAACCACGAAAACCTACGAGGTATTCGATCTACTCCTATACTTTATTCGTGGTCTCATGCTTCGTAGGATCATATGTTTTGCAGCATCACACAGTTTAGAGGTTAAGTTTGTTTTCGCGACAACAATTACAACTAATGTCATTCATGTCAGACTTTATATTTGCGGAGGATAGCACGATTACGAAATTGGCACCGTCACTGGAGAGTATATTAAGGGATTTAAAAGAGAATGTCACACACCATGATTATTTAGTTGCCTTGCTGATAGTATTTTTAGCAGAGTACGGATTTCAGGTTTCAACATCTGACGTATGTGACTCGCAACGGTATGCATTGGTGTTCGGCAATGTTTTCTTGTTATGATGTTCAGTTTTTTATCCTCTATTTCATGTGTATTCTAGACTGAATCTGAGATCCTTGCGGATACCAGAAAACTGGAAGTCGAAGGACACTAAAGCCTATGACATGCGTTTCCATTTTGTGGCTGCTCCTAATGTCACGTGCAAATTGGTTGCAGTTCCATCGGGTGATTTATTGATCGTTAACTTTTATCCTCTAATAGACCGTGGAAAAACTTATTCTATATGCGTACAAAGTTTGAAGTATATCAATCCTTTCTCTAGCGACCTTTGTGGTCGATACAGAAATCTCAAAGAAATATCTCTCAGGTATGATAAGCTAATTGCATGTCTACATAGATGGAAGGGTAACGCAGCTTGTCAACAAATTACTTAATAGGTTCAAAGACTCGCTAGCAAATCCAGTGCGTATAGACGTAGCGACCAGGGAAGGAATAGTTGTTCCAAGCTTACAGAGTCTACCAATCGAATTGAAGATCAGGATCATGAATCTATTGAATCCTCATGATTTATCACAATTAATAGAAGTCCTCGCCAGACTTTCTTGAGGATTGAATACAAAGGAGATGTTACAGACGGTTAACAGTTCTGTCAGTTTTATTTTTATCCATAAAAAAGAATACTTTCACAAAATATAAATGTTTCTATCGTCCACTGGTAGGACTTTTGGATCCATGTGTAGAACTATTTTTCTGTACATATATTAAACGACATGATATAATTTTTCAAACGCCTTGCAGTTTATTTTCTAATTTTTAAATATGAATTCTGCGCCAATTTCGAACTTATGCCTTACCACAAGAAACGCTGTCCAATATTCTGATAATAGACATTGAATCTATTCTCAATTTTTTAAAAATCTCTCGACAAAAAATACTCGAATTGGATAAAACGTTGATTTCTGTTTTATTTATAAAAAATAACCCGAGTAAAGTTTCCTTATGAAATCGTACATGTACACCATACAAAAAAATCAAAATACAATTACGAAAAAAACTCGTGTATAAATAACGGAAAATAAAGGTTTAATACGTCAATTATTAAATGTAAAGGAGTAACGTTTTTTCCACAATTATCAGTGATCTATTAGGAGATTTGCCGGCGGCAAGGACACGGTTCCGTGACCGGAAACGGGCTGCGGAAGGGCTGAAATGCCCTTCATCCATTTCCCAATGTCGCAGCAGTAACACTCCACGTTGCTCAGCGTTTTCATGAATACTGTAGTTACGCCGCCGATTATTAAGAGCTGCTCACCTAGAGAATAATTTAATTAATCAATCATTTCCACGAGTCGATTATTAACGACCCTTCATCATACTCGATGCATCTATTTATCACAAACTGTTCGTCATATGGATTCAAATTCAAAGTGCCATTAGGAACGAGAGAAACTTTAGGAACGTATTCTGCAGACGTAGGTAGAGAGCAATTCATTTTCCAAGTGTTATTTCTCGACCGATTTCCAACTGATTTTGAAACCCATGAAAAGTAATGAAATTTTCAAGAGATCTGAGAAAGAGAGAAGGGTACCCGCATACAAAATTTTAGTTTCATGTCTTTATTATTACTCTTAGAGACATTAAAGAAAAACGTTTCATACAATAACTTCTGCTAACAATTGCAGTATATGCTACTAGTTTGTTATTACTCTGCTATAAACTAATGAAGACAAATGGCCAAAGTTTTATATAGAGGACCCGATCCCTTCATCTCCAAAAAATTTCAATTCGTTTTATGATGAAATTATATTATTATTATTATCCAACGCTATTAAATAACCGCTGGCAGGTGTTAACTGTGGGTCCGAAGCGGCCCAAAAAATTCTCCAGACTTTACCTATTGAGCCGACAGAGTGTCCGTGTCTCGCGATCGACATTTTCGCTTGTTCCTTCCATACGCATTCTTCCTCGTCCCACACGTCGACGTCGTTGCTGCTTTGGGCGGTGATTTCAGTGGTCGAGGCTCCGCCGATCACGTAGAGACAGTCGTCGACGACGTAGAACGAGGCGAAACACCTCGGCGACCTCAAAGACACCGCTCTCAGCCACCTGCAACCGCGTTCGCGTGACAGTCCTCGGGGATCGAATCGCGGACGCGAATAAATGTAGCATTTAATCTAGGCAATGGGACACGAGGCCGCGAGGAGACAGAGAACGCTATCGAGCTAACAAATTTTTGATCGGGTCGTAGCACTCGACGTCCTTCGAGAACATCTCTTTCTTCGATTTTGTCATCCCGCCAGCGACCCAGATAAGATCCCGATATTTCACGCTGGCAGGTCCCACCCTCGCGATCTGCATCGGTTGCATCTCCCTCCACGTGGAATCTGATGGATCGAAAGCCTCCATCGACTTCAGCGTTCTGCAACGCGGAAATAACAATGTTACGCGCTGGTCGAACTGCTCGAGTTTGCTCCTCCACGAATTTCCACGTGGAAACAATGAGGAAACGTTCTCATGGTTAACGTGTGCACTCTATTTGATTTTGTTTTCCACTGATTTTTCTGAGTTCGAATCTCGCGTTACACGTTTCAATGAGATCAAAACAAATTTTTGAATGTAGATGTTTGGAATTCTTGGAGTAGCATAAAAATATTAAATAATTATTCTGAGTACGTTATATCGATTTGAAACGTTTACGTGTATTAACACAAAGTCTATGCGTGTCTTATGGAACTATTGGGTTGGCAACTAAGTAATTGCCGATTTCAGTTATAGATGTCTCTCACTCCCATTTTTATGACATCCGTAAATGTTATATTATAAAATTATTATTATTATTATTATGTCGTTTTTTATTATCCGTGAATGTTAGCAACTGGACAAATTGAATGCAGCGGTCAAGGATAAGCGACCAGAATTGGTCAATCGTGAAGGTGTCATTTTCCACCAGGACAATGCTAGGCCGCACACGTCTTTGTCCACTCGGCAAAAATTGATGGATATCGGTTGGGAATTGATGTTACACCCACCATATAGCTCTGATCTCGCGCCATCGGATTACCACTTATTTCGATCCCTGGACAGCTCCCTTCGTGGTCAAACTTTTAATGATGACGACGCTGTAAAATCTCACTTAACTCAGTTTTTGACCGAAAAGGATCAGACTTTCTACGAGCGTGGAATTTTCTAGTTGTCGGAGAGATGGCAAAA